TAGTTGTTACCAAAACTATTTTTGTGTTTTTTTTTCCTCAAAAGGAAGGAGACACAGACTTGACTACCTGGCTGCAAATGAGACCCAATGACATACTGTATCAGGGCTGATCATGACATGGAGCTATTGGCAACATTCGAGAATAGCGAAACTGTAAAAGCCATCCAGACTCAGCAGTCTGACATGGTAAAGGCTTTTCAAGAAATTGAACAATATTGCTACGTGTGAGAACTTTTACATTTATCTATCAGTAATTACTTTAATAACCTATTCATGTATAGCTGGTAAATATATTATTTTAAACATTCTTAATTGTTTTTATATTGTTGGATGACAACAGCAAAAAATCATGCCAAGATTATTATTCTAGTTTCATATTGTCATTTAAGAAAAATATTCTTAAAAGCCATGCACACCGGATCGAACTAGAATAATTTTCTTAGCAGGATTTCAATTCAAGATAATTTTTCTAATTTTGTCCCATGGGTAAGTAAAATTTTCTTATTAAGATTATATTTATTATTTCAAGAAAACGTTCTAGCAAAATTTTCTTATTACTAGAAAATAATTCTTGGGAAACTAAGAATTTTTTTCTAGAAATAAGAAAATTTTGCTAGAACGTTTTCTTGAAATAAGAAAAATATTCTTGATAAGAAAATTTACTTACCCACGGGACAAAATTAGAAAAATTTTCTTACCAAGAATTTTGTTCTAACCAAGATTAATTTTCTTATTTTAAGAAAAAATTTCTTGAAATCTGATTCTTACCTAGAATATTTTACTTACCCACGGGACAAGTAAAATTTTCTTAAAACAAGTAATTTTGTGCTTAAAATAAGTAATATTTTCTTAAAACAAGAAATTGATTTTTTGCAGTGTACTTTTCAATCTCTGTTTTGATTGGTTGTTATGACTTACAAATTACATATATATATATATATATATATATATATATATATATATATATATATATATATATATATATATATATAATATATATATATATATATATATATATATATATATATATATATATATATATATATATATATATATATATATATATATATGTAATCGGGCGTGTGCAGGTTGTGATAAGGTGGACTCCAATAATTTGGATTCTTGCTCTTCACTTGGTGGAATTAATATTAGAATGTTAGGGTTTGTAATCCAAGTGAGATTATATACATTTTAAGACCTAACCAGGAACGACTGCGAAAAATGCAGCACAAGGTCCTCTGGTAGAAATTGAACCTACTGCCTTGCGCTACAGGGGCCAGTATTAATTCCACCAAGTGAAGTGCAAAAATCCAAATTATTGAAGTCCACCTTATCACAATCCGCACACCCGATTACCTATATATACATGAACTTGCTGTTACAGCTCAACAGCTGGCCTCTGTAGCTCAGTTGGTTAGAGCACTGCAGTGCCTAGGTTCAATTCCTACCAGAGGACCTTGTGCTGCATTTTTTGCAGTCGTTCCTGGTTAGGTCTTAAAATGTATATAATTGTCACTTAGATTACAAACCCTAACATTCTAATATTAATTCCACCAAGTGAAGTGCAAGAATCCAAATTATTGAAGTCCACCTTATCACAACCCGCACACTGATTACCTATATATACATGAACTTGGGGTTACAGCTCAACAGCTGGCCTCTATAGCTCAGTTGATTACAGCACTGCACCGGAATCGCAGGGCCGTAGGTTCAATTCCTACCAGAGGACCTTGTGCTGCATTTTTCGCAGTCGTTCCTGGTTAGGTCTTAAAATGTATATATTCTCACTTAGATTACAAACCCTAACATTCTAATATTAATTCCACCAAGTGAAGTGCAAAAACCCAAATTATTCAGGTCCACCTTGTCACAACCCGCACACCCGATTACCTATATATACATGAACTTGCGGTTACAGCTCAACAGCTGGCCTCTGTAGCTCAGTTGGTTAGAGCGCTGCACCGGAATTGCAGGACCGTGGGTTCAATTCCTACCAGAGGACCTTGTGCTGCATTTTTCGCAGTCGATCCTGGTTAGGTCTTTAAAAATGTATATATTCTCACTTGGATTACAAACCCTAACATTCTAATAAATATCGCAAGTTTCTATTATCTGCATTTTACAACATTTCGCAACGAAACTTTGGAATATTACTAATTTTGTGACTCGAAATAATTTTGTGAAATTTCTGCCTAGACTTGTTTAGATCAAAATTTAGTCTTGATCACTTATTACATATTTCTCTATAGAGGGTTACTCAAAACCCACACAATATATACTGGCAAGCATTGGCAAGCATGGAGTTCCTATAGTATCAAATATCGTTACAACTCTGCGCAAGAAGACACAATATTTATACATAGGCCTATTGTCATTGCTAAACATATAAAATATATAGAGAATAATACATGAGTGCGCGGAATTACCAGATTTATTTTGAGTGTTGAATGGCAATATTCACATGGGAAATTATCATAAATATAATCTCCCATGTGAGATTATCAGTGCTGGAAATCTCTATGACCTTTATAACAGTGTAAGACTATATTATATCATGTAGCCAATTAATTTAACTCAAGGCACAAGGTTCTAGAACTGTATGTGTCAGTGTTGGTAGTGCCAACAATAACAAGCTTTCGTTCGTAGCGATTCACGCAACTACCTGGAGTATAATAAAACTTACTGAGTTTAGTTAATACTCCAGACGAAGCGCCTTCGCTCGAAACGTCAAAATTCGCCTTAAATTTTTCAGGTTGTTGCGTCTCCACCAACGAAAGCTTGTTACAAGGTTCTCTAGAAGCTACTATATATTTGAAAACTTACCCTCTGCCCTCTGCATGGCCTCTGTAATTGAGCGTTGCGAATTCATGTTGTTGGCTTCTGACATTGAGCGTTGCGAGTTCATGTTCACATGATACGGCAATACCGCCAGACACTCAACTTGGAACAGTTTGTCTCTCTGAATAATCAGGAATCAGCAATAACGAATATAATTCATAAATAAATAGCAATTTATATTAATATGTGCGCTATAAATTTATAATATAACACGCTGAAGAATGGCAGATTGTTTTGACTTTGGACTTCAGAGGAAACCCACGCAATATTTTTCTGGCAATTTGCAATTGTTGTGTGCCAATCAGAACACTGCGTGTATTGGGAAATCGTCGCTCATTGGCTCCTGTCTGTGCGTTAGTAGTGCTAAATTAAATTTTATTTTCGCCGTTGGAAATTTGATAACCTTGACAGACAAACGCGCGTAAATAATACGAGCTGACAAAGCTAAAATTTACTCGAAAATTTATGCCAATATATGAACAGTTTTTATGCGGAGTAAAACGTATTGTTTAGTATAATAGCACACGCTTACAGACTACGTAAACATGTAACTTATTCTGGGTGCAAGGAGTATCGAAGACTATGTTTTGGACTATGAATTTGCCGTCTGAATTCTGAAAGCGACACGCCGGCAGAAAGCGACACGCCGGCTAAAGGCAGAGACTAAAGGTATGTTGTGTGCTTTATAGTTTAGTACGTTTTGCTGTTTATATGCATCGCTCCATATTTGCATTTCGCCGCAAGTTTAGCTTTCGTTTTATTAAATTATAATAGCATCACGATGTGTCAGCTCACAGCTGCATTGTTTGGCTGGCTTTAATATTAATATATTAAACAAATTTTATCAAAGGAAAACCTGACAGAATTCTTTCGTATAAACCCAGTGTATTATTAAATATTTAGCGGTTTTATGCTGGCGCTTTAAAACCGGTTGTATTTAAAACTCCGATCCAGACCAGATCTCTGAAAAAATATTTCCAAATTTATAGACAAGCCATTGCTGTCAGGAAGTTTGCTGTGAATTTTAGCTTATGTATAAAAAGCTAAATAAATAAATAAACCTATGGTTAAGCTAACCAAACTTTTAAAAACCGTTTCCAAGGGGCTGGTTGTTTGGGTTATTTATAACCCAGCTTTGAACAACTGGCCCCAGATAGCTAAAATTAAAATGCGACAGACTCAATCACTGTGGACAAATTCATCAGATCGGGTGAAGCCACATATCAAAGGTTTAAGCCGGCTAATATTATTAAAACTAAAAATCTAATATTTTCCTTACACCATAATTGTGCAATTTTGGTGATTTGAACTATCAAATGAAACATATTTATACATAAATGCCAGTCGTCCCCAAGGGGCCTGTTGTTTGGGTTATTGCTAACCCTGGGTTGATGCTAACCCAGCTTTGAACGACTGGCCCCAGATAGCTGAAATTTAAATGCCACAGACTCAACACTCAATCACTGTGAACAAATTCATCAGACCAGGTGAAACCACATGTCAATGGTTTAAGCCGGCTAATTATTAATGAGTATATATGATTAAAACTAAAAATCTAATATTTACCTTACACCATGATTGTGCAATTTTGGTGATTTGAACTATCAAATGAAACATATTTATACATAATGCCAGTTGTCCCCAAGGGGCCTGTTGTTTGGGTTATTGCTAACCCTGGGTTAATGCTAACCCTGGGTTAATGCTAACCCTGGGTTAATGCTAACCCAGCTTTGAACGACTGGCCCCAGATAGCTAAAATTTAAATGCCACAGATTCAATCACTGTGAACAAATTCATCAGCCCGGGTGAAACCACATGTCAATGGTTTAATCCGGCTAATTATTAATGAGTATATATTTAATTAAAACTAAAAAATATGTAATATTTTCCTTATACCATGATTGTGCAATTTTGGTGATTTGAACTATCAAAATATGAAACATATTTATACATAATGCCAGTCGTCCCCAAGGGGTCTGTTGTTTGGGTTATTGCTAACCCTGGGTTAATGCTAAC